GTCTTGTCAGATTTAGTTCTTTATAAAATTACTCATTTACAGTACATGTATATATAACATTTTTTTCTTTCTCTCCCTCCCTCCCTCCCTCTCTCTCTCCCTTTCTCTCCCCCCCTCCTCTCTGGTGTATGTACATGTATATCCCTCCAGAGTCCGAGTAAGGCACTGTTAGCTGATGGTATTGGAGAGAATGATCATTTAACTGATAACTGGGACGATGCTGAAGGATATTACAGTTAGTGTATTAGTCTATTATTAATTAATTTAATTTTGACATGGCTATATACACATGTACAACATATTAATCATGTATTTATCTATTATAGTGATAGCTATAGTGATATATTATAATCTATTATAGATTATAGTGATACTGATAGCTGTACATGTATAATGGATTATATTTGTATTATTAATGGAGGACTGGTGGTGTATTTAGTAACTTCTGTGGAATCAACAGGAGTCTCAACTCTGTAGTGTTAAGAGTAGCCTCAAGCTTTTATTTTAACATGTATCATGTATAATTGTGTTTTTATTTTAATTTATTGTAATAGGTTTACATGTACAGTATACATGTACGTGTATATATATATTTCTTAATTTATACATGTAGTATATTATTTTCTCTCTTCCTCTCCACTAGGAGTGCGTATTGGTGAGCAACTAGACAGACGGTACATGGTCTATGGGTACACTGGTCACGGAGTGTTCAGTAATGTAGTGAGGGCTAGGGATACCTCTAGATCAAGTCAAGAAGTAGCCATCAAGATAATCAGGAACAACGAGATGATGTGAGTGGGTGTGGCTAGACACACCTACTAATTAATAATTAAAGTACATGTACGTATTGATGTCTTTATGCTGTGTAGAAAGTTTGAGCTGATTCCGACTCCAATTTTTCAAGTTACAGCCATTTTAAGAAAATGCCAAAATTTTGAAAAATGCCCAAGGCTAAGCCCATGGTTTTTCCCAAAAAATGGCTCCAAAATCACCCCAAATTTTTATTACATTTTCTGATGCATATTGATGTCCTTATGCTGTGTAGAAAGTTTGAGCTGATTCCAACTTCAATTTTTCCAGTTACAGCCATTTTAAGAAAATGCCAAAATCTGAAAAATACCCAAGGCTATAGCCCTTGGTTTTTTCCAAAAAATGGCTCCGAAATCACCCCAAATTTTTATTACATTTCCTGATGCATATTGATGTCCTTATTCTCTTCCTTATAAGGCACAAGACTGGCATGGCTGAGTTGGAAATATTAAAGAAGTTAAATGCGACTGATCCTGATGACAAGTTCCACTGCATTCGATTATTCAGTAACTTCTTTCACAAGAACCACCTGTGCCTGGTATTTGAATCAATGAGGTAATAACTAACCACACCCACTAATTAATCAACTCTAATTATAGATTTTGTTAAGCTACATGTACATGTACATGTTGTATTTTTATTTATTTATTCATTAATTAATTTATGTATTTATTATTTATTCATTTATTTATTTATTTTAATTATTTATTTATTATAGTATGAATATTCGTGAAGTGTTAAGGAAGTATGGTAAGAACATTGGTCTCCATATCAAGGCAGTGAGGTCATACAGTCAACAGTTGCTGTTAGCACTGAAGCTGATGAAGAGATGCACTATACTTCATGCTGACATCAAACCAGATAACATACTGGTGAGTCTTTAATATACATTGTACCTGTATTAATGACAAATAATTACATTAGTTTTTATTATTTAATGTGGGCATTTATTATTATTATTATTATTTTCATTTCTATTACTGTTATTATTATTATTATTAATATATTCATTATTATTATTACTGTTATGTTGCATTAGGTGAATGAGTCCAAGTTGATGTTAAAGTTGTGTGATTTTGGATCAGCATCATTCATACAGGATAATGAGATTACACCTTATCTTGTGAGCAGGTTCTACAGGGCACCCGAAATAAGTAAATAATTAATAATTATTAGTAATGATAATTGATAATGATTTTAATGAGATTATCTGATACATATACATGTACTTATGTTGTGTAAAAAGTTTGAGCTGATTCTAATCAAGTTTGGATTTTTTTACGAATTTTTTAAGTTGCTCGAAATCGGACAAAAGTCCCTGTATAAGTCAAATTTTGCCAAAAATGAAAAGTAGAGAATTCTTCATTTTTATTACATTCTCTGATGCATATACATGTTCTTATGTTGTGTAGAAAGTTTGAGCTGATTCCGATCAAAATTGGATTTTTTACAAATTTATAAAATTAAACAAATTTACAATTATTATTTTTATTCTTATTCCCCCATCAGTTATAGGTTGTAAGTATGACTATGGTATTGACATGTGGTCAGTCGGTGCTACACTGTACGAACTGTACACTGGTCAAATACTGTTCCCTGGTAAAAGCAATAATGAGATGCTCAAGTTGAATATGGAGCTGAAGGGGAAGATGTCACATAAAATGGTCAGGAAGGGAATGTTTAGGGAGAATCATTTTGATAGTAGTTTCAACTTCTTGTATCATACTGTGGATAAAGTGACTCAGAAGGTAAGCAAGAAGAGGATTTATACATGCAATGTCACTATTTAGCTATAAAAATGTTGGTAATATTTTTTCTACATGTAAATGTACATGTAATTTGAATGGGTATTTTGTACGCATTAATGATTGATAGTTTAATATTATATACATGTATAAGGAGATTTTGGTTGCTTCAATTGCTACATAATACATGTACATGTACATGTATAGTTTTCCTAATATAAGGTCCTGTTTAGTAAGGTACAATACTGTTAATAGAAGTGGATCTGTATTAGAATCATCCTGTCCATCTCCATTATGGACTCCTGCCTCCATTCATCCCTGTATAAATGATATACACGTACATGTATTTATAACATTCTGCTCCTCCTCCTGCTCCTGCTGGTAGTGACTCCCTCTCTTCCTCTACAGGAGAAGGTTGTGGTGATGTCTTCATTCAGTCCTCAACGTGACCTTCTAGCAGACCTGGTTGGTTCCCAGTCTCCAAGTGAAGCTCACCTGAGGAAGATTCATCACTTCAAGGACTTCCTTGATAAGATATTTATACTTGATCCAACCAAGAGGCTCAGTATCAATCAAGCACTACAGCATCCATTCATCATTGAGAAACTAGACTAGTAGTACATCAATGTACTGTGTACTGATAATGCTAATAATAATAATAATAATGAACTAATAATTGTGACTTTTTAATTTTAGAGTAATTCCTGGTCTCCTCTCTCTCCTCTCTTCTCTAACGAGGTTGTCTGTCCTTGTCCTAACAGATATTAGCTCCTTTTGCTAAACCTGTAATTACTAACACACAGTAATTGTGAATCTAATAATTGTACTGTATACTGTATGATTCAAACTGTCTTTTATTTAAACAGCTTCCTTCTCCTTTTCTCCTCTCCCTCTCTCTCTTTTTGTGTACAATTAATTAATTATTAATTTCTTTTATCTCTTTCTTTATTTATAATAATAATAATCATTGATAGTATGATGATACATTTCTTTACAGGCCTTCATAATGAAGACACTCTCTTCATATTATAGTGCTGCCTCTACTGCACTATAGGCTCTGTATTGAGCTGGAGTCATCACTTTATGCACTGCCTCATGTATTGTCATTAAATGCCTGAGGCTAGTTAATATTTATATGTTGATATTTTGTGTGTGATCCTCTCTCTCTCCTTCTCTTAAGAACTTGTTCAGTACAGGAGGTCCACTGGAGGTTGTACTGTAGTACACTGTACACTGTTTGCTGTTTGAAGGTTTTGGCATTGAGTGTATTAATAAGTAATGGAATTTTATGGTTCACACAAGATTGCAAATAATTATTGTGATTTCATTATATTTATTTATTTATTATTCTTCATAGGTTGAGTAGTAGTGGATCAGATCTCTTAGCCTACCAAAGGAAGACTGTCTTACAACTGTATATACTCTGTAAGTGATGGTGTATAGTAAATTGTAACTCCCTTCAAAGTAACTACATGTACAACTATGAAACTTGTCTTTTTGTTCAGTTTTCTGATACATGTACTGTACATTTACATGTACATGTATAACCAGATTACAAGTCTCAGCACATGCTATGGGTAACTGATGGTCATGAAGTATGGAGTCTCCAGGAGTACATGTACAATATGCTGCTAATGCTGCTATACATGTAGTACAGTTGTATAAGGTTTAGGCTCACCCTTAAGTGTTTCCATTTATCTCCTGCATACAATATACATGTACATGTATTCTTATTTTTCATATCACAATTAAATCAATAACCCATAGTAAAGGTTACCTTTTACTGTACATACAGTACTGCATCTTTAGTAATGGTTAGGTTGCTCCCAGTATTATTGTAGCTATCATAACTTCCTTCAGTCACAAGACTATAGACTGCTATCCTGCCACCCCTTTCTTCTATCGTTCTATTTCGCTTTGTTTTCTCATTTATTTTAAGTTCCTCATTTCTTATTGTTCATTCTTGCTCTATCTTCATTTACCGTCTTCTACCTTTATCTCTCTTCATTTTTGTTCTTGCTTTACGTATCCAATTTTATTCTTTTCTTGAAATGGCAACCAAACCATCTTCTGGCCTCAGACTCAAACTGGAGAAAGAGCTCACCTGCTCTGTGTGTCTTGACCACTATACCAACCCTAAGACTTTACCTTGTCTACATTCATTCTGTGAGCACTGTCTGGAGGGATTGCCTTTGGATAAGAAGAATGAGACCTATTACCTCTCTTGTCCCACTTGTCGTCATCATACAGAGTTACCAGAAGAAGGAGCAGGAGCCTTTCCTGTAGCATTCCACCTAAACAACCTCAAAGAGATGTACAGTCTAACAAAGAAGACAGCAGATTTATCAAATCCTCAAGAGGCCACATGTAGTGATCATGGAAAGCCTTTGGAGCTATTTTGTGAAACATGTAATACAGTAATCTGTGTTACCTGCTCAGTTCATAATCACAAACATCATGAATATGACTTAATCACTGACAGTTATACTAAACACTGTCAAAAGTTAAGAGAATGTCTATCACCAGTTGAGAGAAAGAAGGAAGCACTCAAGAAGGTCCTGTCTGCTCTAGCAGAGAGAGAGGGTGAGATCAGAGAGAGAGGAGAAGGAATCTTAGA